CCCCTGTGTGCTGGCAGGGGGAGTGTAGCAGCCGCGTCTCTGATGAGCGAGTGCAGCCCGCTCTGACCAGCACGGACTGATCCCAGCTGGCACGTGTCCTCTAGACGAGCCGCACTGCCACCATAAAGCCCGCACGGGTCCCACGGGCTCGCTGTGGTTCATTAGGCAAACGGGCTGTCTGGCTCTTCTGTGCTCTCATCTCAGTCCCAAGCCATGACGGGCTTCCTGCTGGAGTCCCCCGTCAGTTTCCCTTCTTGTGGACAGGGTCATCAAGACCTACTGGATCCAGAAAGGCAGCGCCTTCAGCACCACGGTCACCAAGCAGGAGACGGACCTCACCCCAGAGATGATCGCCAGGTGAGGCGCGCCCTGCTGCCTTGCTCTCTGCCCAGTGCTAACAATGCGGGGAGCCGCCACGGCACAGCTGTGAACGTGGTTCTTTGGGGTCTCTTTACAAACAGCTGCAGCCTGCCTGCCCCAGCAGGGCTGTGTGGCCCCTCTGATGGTGAGGGGAGGGACGCAGCAGGTTGCATGCTAGTTCAAAAGCTGTGAAGGGGATGCAAGACCATCAGGAGTGTAATTTTGTTGCAGAACCTCGCCGTGGGGCGAGGGAGTTAACTGCCGTCACTTGAATGGTGATATGGCCCTGGGTGCTAGCTGGCAACTCGGCTTGGCCTGGCTTTCCCTGGGGCCAGACTTGAGGGTGTCTGTCCCAGGGCACAGGGTCACAGCGCCACTCCAAAACTTTCCTGTGCGTTTGTGTTGGGTGGGACGGGGTGTTGAACAAGGTTTTTAATGGCAGTTGAACTGACCTCCCCAAAACTTGGCCTTTAACGAGCCATGGCCACAACGTTAGAACTAACAACTCCCGACTTCCTTGCAGCCGGCGTCTGGACAGTGGAGTCGCTCTGGGGGGGCCGGGCTGGAGCTGAGGGGACGCTGCTGTTGCTTGAGCAGCTTGGAGTGCCAGCACCGCTGGGCCAGTGGGGCGGGTGTCCCGATGGATGGGTGGCCATGGGGTACGGGGTCGGTGGTGCCTCAGCAGTGCTCGTTTCCCCCTGGGCGAGGGGGGTTAGGCCAAGGAAGCAAAGTGGAACTGCTCTGAACTTGCTGACGTGGGGGTGGGAAAATGGGTGGCACCCAATTCTGTGGCAGCTGGGGCGCTTGGCTTCCCTCCCCCCCCTGGCAGCTCCCGTTGCTTCCTCCTCCCCCTGCTGGTACCTGTGCAAAGCCCACAGGGCTTAGTCTGGTGGGTCTTTCAGACAAGCCGTGCCCACCGTGCAGGGGGGTTGATGGGCCTGTGACCCAGATCCTCTTGTCCCCGCTGACAGGCAGCTGCCCTCTTCCCCAGAGCTGGCTGCATTTCAGTGGCACCGGGGAAGATGCTGTCTGAGGCCCGTTACCCACTCGGTCAGCTCCCCAGGGCTTGCTTCCTGTGACCTCTCCCCTCTTGTCCGCAGCGGCTCGTGGCGTGACCTGAAGTTCAAGGCGTATAACTTTGAGGCGCTGGGCATCATGCCCGAGGGCGGGCACCTCCACCCGCTACTCAAGGTCCGCACCCAGTTCAGACAGATCTTCCTCGAGATGGGGTGCGTAGCCACGTGTGCCCAGCAGGGCATCTGCCTGGGACCAGCAGTGCAGAATACAGAGCATGGCCTGCGATGGTGGGGACCAGCCAGGGTTTGCCCAGCTGCTGCCAGCCCCCTTCTCTTGGAGGGGCAGAGAGAGGGGGTTCTGCCAGCCAAGGGTCTGCGGTGGGACCGGTCCCTTCAGCGGGGCTGGGAGTCAGGACTCCTCGGGGTTCTCTCCCTGGATCCGGGAGGGGAAGGGGTGTAGTGGTGGGGGGGTGAGGAGAGGAGTCTCTGGTCTCCTTTTGTGAAGTCTCTTCTCGCTGTCCCGAGGTCTTGTGCCCTGCCCTGCGGGGTGGCAGTGCCAGGCCTGCTCTGTGCGTGCCTCTCCCCGCAGCCAGCTGACTGGTCCTGTGTCTTGCCCAGCTTCACAGAAATGCCCACCAATAACTTCATCGAGAGCTCCTTCTGGAACTTCGACGCCCTCTTCCAGCCGCAGCAGCACCCGGCCCGCGACCAGCATGACACCTTCTTCCTGCAGGGTCAGTGCCTCGTCCGCCCCCGCTGCCAGCTGGCCTAGCGCCTGCCCGGGGAAACCTGGACTGACTCCTGGGAGAGCACGCAAGGTCGCTGCCAGCCCTTACATCCACGTGGGGGGGGGGCGCTGCCGGGCTGAGGTGCAGTGAGGGGGTAGGGCAGTCACCCATCCCCATGGCTGGATGTGGGGGTGCAGCATCTTCCGCCCACGTTGACCCCACTTGCCACCTGTGCGGCCCCTCTGGCTCCCTGCTGACCACCCAGGGAAGTCACTGCAGCCCCTTTGCTCCCCCCAGATCCTGCCGAAGCCACGGACTTCCCCATGGACTACCTGAAGAGAGTGAAGAAGATCCACTCGCAGGGAGGCTACGGCTCCCAGGGGTGAGCGCCCCCAGCTGTCCGGTGCGCTGGGAGCCCAGAGGAACAGGCTGATCTTGGGGTGGGGGCAGGGGGCCTCTCCCCTCTAGAGGCAGCTGGTTCTGATCTAGCCCAGGCTGGGGGGGCAGGGAATGGGAATCGGGGCCTCTCTGCGCTAGGCTGCTTTCCTCCCCCTCCCCCCACTGCTGCTGTGGCACCCGCCTCTGTTCTGGGGCAGCGGTTAACCCTTTGGTGCCTGGAAGCAGCAGCGTCCCGATGGGATCTTGCCTGTGTTGGGGTGGGGGAGATGTTCCGCCCTCTCCTTTCCCCGCTGCCTCTTAGCCCCCTGGCAGCCTGGTGCTGGGGGGAGCTGCGCTCCTGGGCCACCCCATGCCTGGTGTGGACTGGATCTCTTCTCTCCCCC